GGCCTGACTCTACAGCCTGGTGGTTAAGGCAGCAGAATCTCACATGGCTGATCATGGGTTCCAGCCCCAGACCTGGCGGCTTCAAAAACCCTCATGACATGATTGTGGTGTGACCATTCCCCATGGAGGATGCTTTCTCCTCTCCTTCTTTATCTTTGGAAAGCACACATGACCTCTGGCAAAAAAAGAAAAGAAAGACAGAAAAGAAAAGACTTTTGCTTGGTGTTAAATTACCCCTAAATTCTTTCTTGCTATTCTTCCTTGTGCAACTCACTTGATATGTGTTAGATTTGTTCTTGAGATAGCAGCTCTTATCTGTTTGGCTTGTGTTTATACTTCCCTTATGTATTGTTGAGATAGGAGTTAGGCCCACTTACAGGTAGATAGGGTGAGGGCCCCAAAAGGAAGTCACTGGTTTTTTTTTTTCCTTTTTAGTGAAGTGTCTACTTTTCCTCTGTGGTGTGGTAAATGTACAATATACCTTTTACATGTCTCTAAAGAATTTGTTACTCTTTGCTAACAAGGCAGAATATAGGGACACTGAGCACATAGACAGGATAAGGCCAAGATGGAGTGACAGTGGCTAAGTTTTCATAGCCAAAAGCTGGCTGCACTGGGACTCAGCAACTGCAGCTAAGGGGAAGTTTCTACTCAGTAACTGTATTCTTACCAGAAGTACAGAACACTATGATCTGCTGACCCCACAAAGAATAGGATAATACATCATTCAGACTACCATGTAACCATTTTCTAAAGCCTACTTCCTCACAAGAAAGCCAGACAATGCTCAGACTGCTAGATAAAAATCCCTCATTTCCAGCGTCTCTCTGGCAACCCATTTGGGCCCCTTTCACTACATTGAAAGCTTTTTCTCCTTCTGTAATAAATTCTACTTTCCTCTCTTCGCTGTATCCTGCATCTCTAGTTCTTCATAAGCATAGGACAATAACCAACATGAGTGTTGGATCTGATTACCCAATGCTCCTGCCTCATTGTTACCTAATCTCCCTTGTTTGTAAGTCTTCTCTCTACCTGGATTTCAAGCTCCTTGAAGGCGTAAGATTGCCTACTGGTTTAGCATAGTCCATTGTACATAATAGAGGCTCAGTAAATATTTATGGAATGAATGCTGGTTTTGAATGAGTTGGCAGGATGAGAAGCAGCAACAGACAATTAGATCACAAGAATGACTCCTGTCTCCATTTTCCTCCATACACATCCAGTTTATTTTCTCTGATAACACTTTGTTGTGCATTTTCTTTTTGTTTTTGTTTGTGAGAGATCATGCATACATTTGACTTTCAGGTTCCACCAGGGATAGAGGAGCAAGAGTGGATTCAAAGAATACATGGCAGGAGGAGAAAGGTTAGCTGGCCAAGTCAAGAGAATGAGCTTGTTCTGGCCCATACTGTTGAAAGAACACTGAACCTGGAGCTTGAACCCCGAGTTCTAGTCCTCATTCTGCGAATAACTTGTGTGATCTTATTTACTGAGCTTCAGTTTGTCATGATTCAACAGAGGTAATGATTTCTGATATTTTGCACTCCATAGGGGGTCAGCTAGGCTCATGGCTAGGCTAGAAAGAACTTTAGCTGAAAGGATTTACACCATTGTCTTCACAGATTAGAGAGGTGGTTTATGTCACTAAGCCAGGTAAATCAAGTTTCTGCTTTAAGATTCAAAAACTGGAATGAAAAGGTGGGAAGGCTGAGTTCCTAGAGTCACAGAAGTTGAGAACCAGTAGATATCTTAGAGACCATTCTAGTCCATCTCCCTCATTTCACCACTAACTACAATAAGGCATGGCAAGGTGATTTTCCCCAAGGTTTGATTGACCTGAGCCAGAGTTCCAGGTTCCCTTTTCACTATGTTCTGCAAGGCTCTACTTAAAAAGCAAAGTTCATTTGCTCTTGTTACTATTTGGAGAGAAGGAGGCCCTGGCCTGTGTCCCAGAAAGAAATGATCAGGACATTTATCTGAAGCTTTTTTAGTTTCTAAAATTTGACACCACCATTTCAGTTCAATTATTGTTTGTCTTTTACTTATGGGGACAACAATCTCTTATTGTTTATTTAGTGCCTACTATGTGTTTGCCACTCTGCTAAGTACTGTGTATGGTGGGGTTAGGACACCCTCTTGTTCTCAAAGATGGTGTTGGAGACAGGACTTACAATGAGAACAATGGAAGGCAGCATGTGATTCAGAATAAAATGAGTAGTGCAGCAGATAAATGCTTTAGAAGTTTGGAGGAGGGAGAGAGCACTGATAGCTGGGGAGTGGGGAGATAGGGGAGAGTGATTTTCCGTGGGCTTTGAAGGATGAGTAGGATTGTTTATGCAGATGTGGGGGAGGACACTGACTCTGAGTGTGTGTATGTGCTTCTGTGCTTGCATGCACACACAAATGCGGGGATGAGTAACAACAGGTAGCCTTCAGGGAGCACTTCAGGGTGCATAGGATAGTCCATGATGGTCCAGAAAATTCAATGCATTTAAATGTGCATAATCCTATAAATTAGATAACAGAATCTTTGGATTAGTAGATAATGACATTGAGGCACAAGAGGAGGCCCAGTAAATTGCCCAAGGTAACACATCAAGTAAATGCCATACATGGGATTCGATTTTGGATCCTGAAAAACACTTTGCTAATCTACCTATGAAAAAGAGGCATTTATGGCTCCAGTGAGGAAACTGTCCTTGGTATAATCATTAAATACAGTCAATTTGCACAGGACCCGCAGGCCACATTCCCAACTGAAATTGGAGGGATTAATGAAGCTGGTTACTGAGTACTGTACCCACATCCTGACTTTCTTGTTAGTGAGACCTCCAGATGCTGCAAGCCATTGCCAGAAGCTGCACAGCTTTTTCTTTAAATATTCCTTGGTTATGTTGCTGAGGATTTAAAGAAACACCTAAGGAGACAGAGAGCGAGCCTCTGAGTCAAGTCTTGTTTGTTGTTATTCTTTATTAATTAGCACTTGAAGTGCATCAGGCCTCTGGTAGGGGCTGTAGAAAGCTTGCAGTCAGACAAAGCTATCTGGCTGTATTTGTTGGCAAAACCAGACTTGCAAAAGATGGGAGGGCAATGGCCTGATAATATGGTAGACTGTATTTTTATGTTTTGAGCCTGGCTTGCAGCCAACATCCAAAAGTGTTTCCTAGGCAAGATGCCTAACAGTTTTTCTGGATATTCTCCTAACTCATTTTGAGTTTTCAGTAAACAGTAAATCAACATGAAGTAGATTCTGAGGTCCTTCCTGTTCCCTTGTCCCAAGAAAAACAAATGCAGTTGATGGAAACAAGAAAGCAGAAGGGAAGAGAGGAGCTTGTTGCAAACAGCTGCCCTTATCCAGTTTGGGGGCTTAGACCTGCCTCTCCATGCCAGTGTTCTGGCTGGCCTTGCCACTTGTGGGTTAGGAAGCAGCTGCTCTCTGCACGGAGG